GCCACACAGAGAGGCCCGCACAAAGAGGAACACACTTGCCAGCCCCGGGAGCCAGTCCCCTTGGAAGCAGACCCTCCGGTCTCAGTCAAGCTTTCAGCTGACTGCAGTCTCAGCCGACATCTGACTGAGATGAAAGACCTTGAGCCAGAACCGATCAGCCAAGTCACTTCTGGACCCAAAGAAGCTGTGAGGTATAATAAATGATTATTGTTGTTTTCAGCCACTGAGTTTTGGGGTGATTTGTTACACAGCATTAGATAATTACTACAGGAGGATGTTAATTATCTAATGCTATGTGACCATATTCCAAAACTTATTGGCTTGAAAATAACAAAAATAATTTACTATTTATTGTGGTTTCTATGGGTCAAAAATTTAAACAAGGCAGAGCAGGAACAGCTTGTCTCTGCTCTATGATGCCTGGGGCATCAGCTGAGGTGGCTTGAAGCTGGAGGCTGGATTCACCTGAGGGCTTATTCATTCACATGTCTGGCAATTGCCATTGGTTGTCAGTGGAAGGCCTAGCTGGGCTGTTGGCTGGTCCACCCATTGTTATGGAACGAATTGTGCCCCCTCCAAATTCATATATTGAAGCCTTAACTCCCAGTATCTCAGAATGAGATTGTATTTGGAGATAAGGCCTTTAAGAGGTAATTAAGTCAAAATGAGGCCATTAGAGTAGGCCCTAATCCAATCTGACTGGTGTCCTTATAAGAAGAAGAGACACCAAGGAAGCTTGTGTAGAGAAAAAAGGCCACGTGAGGACACAGCAAGAAGGCAGCCATCTGCAAGCAAAGAAGAGAGGCCTCAGAAGAAACCAAACCTGCCATCACCTTGATCTTGAACTTCTAGCCTCCAGAACTGTGAGAAAATAAATTTCTGTTGTTTAAGCCACTCTGCCTGTGGTATTTTGTTATGGTAGCCCTAGCTAACTAGTGCATCCATGCATGTCCTTTCCATGTGGCCTGAGCTTCCTCACAACATGGTGGCTATATTCCAAAGGCAACCACACACACACACTCACACACACACACACACGCACTGAGAAAGAGAGAGAGAGAAGTAGAAGTTGTGTCCTTTTTATGACCTAGTTTCAGAAGTCATGTAGCATCACTTCTGACATATTCTATTTATCAGAAATGGGTCGTTAAGTTACGCCACTAAGTGAGTCACTAAGTCATTCAAGGGAAAGGGAATTCAACTCCACTTTTTGAAGGAAGGAGAGCAAAATAATTTGCAGACATATTTAAACCATCCCCATCATTACCATCATCATCACGTTCATCACATAGATTTTTAAGATGCTGGCTAGCCAGGCAGGTGGAGATGTGCCCCAAGAAACTGGATCAGGACTGTGGATCTGGAAATTATAGCTAGAGATGTGGATTTGGGAGTCATCCACACAGAGAAATAGAAAGGGAATGGGATCCCAGAGAAATGGAGAGGCTCAGCCTTGAAGAATGCCAAACCCAGCTTGGTGCTGCATAAATATTATTGGTTTATTGAAAGTATTGGGCAAGACCTCAAAAAGCCAGCTACTCAGCCCATCTTGGATATTTACTAAAAAGGAAAGTACTTGTTTTTCCCAGTCTATTAAAGCTTCCTACAAGCAAATAAGTCACCACCTACTGCTCCAGCACCAGAATAGTTTTCATCATTGTCTGCAAACTGGATCCTGGGGACACACAGGCCGCGTCCTTTGGGATCCTAACCAGAAGACTCGGCTTTCACCAGAACCCAATCCCCTTCCACGTCCAATAATGGGCTGCTCTCTTGGGCTGCTTGTTGCCTCTTTCCATCAGCTGACCAACACGGGCTTTCTTGTGGAGAACCATAAACTCAACATAGGAGCTTTTTAAAACTAAAAACAACTTAAATTTAAAAATCACGAACCAAAGGCGGGCCTGGGGGTGCAGTGGTTAAATTTGTGTGCTCTGCTTGAGCAGCCCAGGGTTCACAGGTTTGGGCGTGGACCTACACACTGCTTATCAAGCCATGCTGTGGCAGGCATCCCACATATAAAGTAGAGGAAGATGGGCATGGGTGTTGCCTAGGGCCAATCTTCCTCAGCAAAAAGAGAAGGATTGGCAATGTATGTTAGCTCGGTGCTAATCTTCCTCACCCACTCCCCCGCAAAATCTCAAAACAATACATGTTCATTGCAGAAAACATATATACAGGTAATCAACAAGATGAAAATAAAAATCACCCATAATCTCACTGCACAGGGTGTATGCTGATATTCTTCTGGATTCTTTTCTATGCACCAATATACTCTTTTTAAAAAGGGATCATACTGAATGTTTTGGTGCTTTTCTCATGTAACGTGACGTGATGTGAAATATCTTCCACAGCATTAAATAAATTTTTTTTGCAACATCCTTTTACTGATTTCTTAGATGGTCCACGATTTTATTTAATCAATCCTGTATGGCTGAGGAATTAAGCCATTTCCAAGTTTTTGTTTCCTTCTTTTTAAAAACTTTTTATTTTGAAATAATTATAGATTCACAAGAAGTTGCAAAGAGAGTGCAGAGAGGTTCCATGGAAACTCTTCATTCAGTTTACCCCAATGGTTACATCTTACATAATCATATTACAATATCAAAACCAGGTATTTGACACTGGTACAAAGTTGTATATAGTTCTGTCATTTTACCATATGCGTAGAGTCATATAACCATCACCAGAAGCAAGATACAGATCTACAGTCAAGCGGAGCTTAACAACTGGGATACATTCTGAGAAATGCATTGTTAGGTGATTTCGTCGTGGTGCTAACATCATAGAGTGTACTAATGCAAACATTGATGCTATAGCCTACTATACACTTAGGCTCTATGGTGCTAATCCTAGGGGACCACTGTCGTATATGCAGTCCGTCATTGACTGAAACATTGTTAGGGGGCGCATGACTGTATTCTATAGCCTCAAAGATCTCCCACTTGCTACCCTTATATAGTCACACCACTTCCTCGACTACCCTATCTGTAGCTCCTTATAACCACTGATCTGTTCTCCATGTCTATAGTTTTGTCATTTCACAAATGTTACATAAATGGAATCATATAGTACGTAGCCTTTGTTATTGACTTGTTTTCACTCAGCATAATGCCTTTGAGATTTATCCAAGTTGTTGCATGTATCAATTGTCCATTCCTTTTTACTGCTGAATAATAGTCTATGATAGGGATGCACTACAGTGTGTTTAACCATCCATCTACTGAGGGACATTTTGTTTGTTTCCAAGTTGGGGCCATTACAAATAAAGCAGCTGTGAACAATCGGTCCAAGTCTTTGTGTAGATGTGAGTTTTCATTTCTCTGGAGTAAATGCCCAGGGGTGCAAATGATAAGTCATATGGTTAAGTGTATGTTTAGTTTTTTAAGAAACTCCCAACTATTTCCACCAGCAATGTATCAGAGATCCAGTTCTCTGCATACTCACCAGCATTTGGTATTGCCATTATTTTTTAATTTAGTTGTTCTCATAGGTGTGTAGTAATATCTCATCATGGTCTTAATTTGCATTTCCCTAATGGCTAGTGATGTTGAGCTTTTTTTTTATGTGTTTATTTGCTATATGAAAATGCTCTTCGGTAAAATATCTATTCATGTGTTTTGCTATTTTTTAAATTTATGGCCCAGGATACAGTTTAATATATATACTGTGGATGCTTGAAAAGAATGTGTATTCTGTGTTGTTTGATAAAGTATTCCGTAACTGTTGATTAGATCCTGTTGGTTTTGGATGTTGGCGAGTTTTTCTATATCCTTGCTGACTTTCTGTCTAGTTGTTTTATCACTTGTTGAGAAAGGGATGTTGAAGTTTCCAATTATAATTGCAGATTTGTCTATTTCTACTTTAGTTCTATCAGTGTATGATTCATTTATTTGGAGGCTTTATTGTTAGGTACATTCACATTTAGGATTATTATGTCTTCTTGGTGAATTGACCCTTTTATCATTACATAATATCCCTTTTTATTCCTGGTAATTTTCCTTGCTCTTGATTCTATTTTGTCTGAAATTAATATAGCTACTCCAGCCTTTTAATGTATTATTATTATAAACAACACTGTTCAGCCTTTGCACTCATCCACGATTATCAGGATTTCTTGGTTAGAGGCCTGCATGTTTTTAAAGGCTTTTGATTGTATTGTCAAATTGCCCTGCATAAATTTACCAACTTACTGCCTCAACACTTGGGCATTATCATTTAAAATAATTACAAATGAAAAGACAAGGTTTTCCCAACTCGATAGACAGAAATGTCGTCTCATAACTACCTGGGTGCAGGTAGTTCTGGTCAGCAGCGCACATCTAAATGAGTGAAATTCTTATCTATCCTAGCAAAAAGCCAAGAGGTCTAAAATTCATTAATCAAGAAATAGGGCATATGTACATTTTGAGAGTCGGCAGTAAGTGCCAGGTGTAGTAGCCAAAAGAGTTGGGAGTGGTTGCCCTTGAGGAGCTGGAGGTCTGGGAGGCATATGGTGAGGATGGGGGTATTGGAGTGGCGCAGCGGAGGAATGGTGCTTTTGTATTTAAGTCCCCCGTAGTATTAGATTTTTTTAAAAGCATGTGAACGTATTACTTACTTTGATGTTATAAATAACATATGGTTGTGGGTTTAACTTACATTTAAATTTATTATCAGGAGTCCCACAATTGTACACACCTAACATCAAGCAAAACTTAGCCTCTCGGGCAGCAAACTACAACTCCCATGATTCCGCGGGTTGAAGGGCCGGGCTGTTCTCCCACGCAAACTACAATTCCTAGGATTCCGCGAGGCAAGGGGAGAGGTTCTGGCCAAGGACTGGGGCCTCTAAACCCGCGAGCCTGCGCACGCGCACAGGTTGCCGCGCCGAGCTCGCCAGCCGGGCAGGCGCACGGCGGGCAGCCGCGAGCCTGGCAGCGGCGGACCGGACGGCGCGGCGGAGCCTGAGCTCCGTCCCTGGGCTCCCGGGGCTCAGAGTGGGCGGCGGGGGCGGCAGCGGGTTCGGCCTAAGCCGGCGCCGCAGGGTGACCACCTGGACGCGTCGGCGGAGGTGGCTTCAGTCCCGGGGAGCCCGGGCTGCAGGTGAGACTCGCGCGCTCGGGGCTGGCAAGGGCTCCGCGACCCGGCTGGGTTAGGAGTTGAGGGATCGGCCCCCGGACCTCTCCCGGGAGGGGACGACGGGGGAGCCGGGCCCTAGGGTGAAGGGGAGTCGAGGGCAGTTGGCAGAACGGAGGAATGACGTGTGATGCGAACTGAAGGAGGCACAGGAGGTGGCAGGAGTGAGGGGAGGTGGACCCTCGGGATCTCGGTGCCGCGGGTCCGGGCTGCGCCCCCAGGCGTGCCTGCTGGACCCCTTACCTCGGGGCAAGCACTGGCAGCGGGTCCCCACGCCCTTTTGCTTGGGAGATGATGGTGCGCATGAGACGCGGGTGGCCGGGAGCCAGGCGAGGTGCACGGAGGGGGTCCTGGCCTCCCGAGCTCTCTTTGAAGGCAGTACCTGGGCAGGCCTGCAGCTGATCCCTGAGCTTCTTGGGGCTCTATAGGGCACCTACTATGTGTCCATTGATGGGAGCCTGCCACGGCCTGCTTGCCAGTGCCCAGGTAGCCTCTGAACGAGGGAGCCAGTGGACTCCCGGCCCCATGCATGTGTGTAGGAACCCGTCTCCTGTCACTGATGGGAACCCTCTGTCTAGATCTGGGGTCCTCAGGCCAGTGTCCGCACCTGGTGGTGGGTGCCCAGCGTCTGCTTATTTTATGCCAACCAACTCGCAAAGCCTACTCTTGAGGGAGGTGAGGCCTGACATGGGAAGGGTTATGGGATGAGCTTGATAGGACTCAGTGGCTAAGAGCACAGATAGAACAGAGTTCATTCACCAAACGTTTACTGTTACATGAGCGGAGCATTCAAATCCTGGCTTTCCTTTGCTAGCTATGTGCCCTTAAGCAAATCACTTATCCTCTCTGAGCCTCTATTTCTTCCTCTGCAAAATGGGAATAAAACTACCTTCATCACAAGGTTGCTGTGAGGATTAAATGAAACAGTGCCGTACAAGTCCTCAGTCCAGGGTCTGGTACAGGGTGAATGTTAGCGAATGTTAGCACTTGTGGTTGCTAATGATAGAAAATGTTAGAGGTGAGATTGGAACCCATGTTCCTCTTTATACTGGAATTAGCTGCCCTCTCTGGCTCTCATGGACCTTGGAGATCTTCCAGTTCATCCTTTCACATGACAGATGAGGAATCCGAGACCCAGTTGGTGGCAGAGCCAGGAAAGAACAGAGGTCCCCTCTTCCCCTAGGGATGGCCAGGCCATCAGTTCCTGAGCCTTGGGCCCCCAGAGGGTGAGGAAAAGCAGAAAGTAGAGATCTTCAGCAAAGAGGAGGATTGGGTGCTGGTGCTAGTAGCTGGGTTCCCACACACCCTGGCCGTGTGAGCATCCTGGCAGCCCTGATGCGGTAGGGTATCAGAGCAGATGCAGCTTTTTTTGAACTGGCCTTCTGGTTGGCAAGTTCTTGCTCTGAGCCTTGCTTTAGAAAATATTTAGCAATTAACAGAGGCTTCTAGTGAGTATTGAGCTAACTGGAAAATTAAATTATCAAGCGCTCCATTCCCCAAGGGTCCTCGTCACTCTCAGTTTGGTTGTCAGTGGATACTCTCCCCCAGGACCCGCCCATCATCACCTGATAGGTTTTTTAAATTGGATGAAGTAGTGAACGTGAAAGGCAGAACCCACAAATGTCATCATAGGCTTTGGAGTCAGACTTGGGTTCAGATCCCAGGCCCACCACTTAATAGCTGTGCGACATTGGGCAATTCACTTAACAACTCTGAACATAGTTCCTCAAATGTGAAATGGGATTGCTAACACCTGTTTTAGATTCGTAGGTGGAAATAAATGAGGTAATTCATGTAAAGCACTTAGCATTGTGGCTGGCACAGAGTAAGAGCCAGTGAATAGAAGTTGTTTTATCATTATTATGATGAATAATATTATAAAAATAATTGTTAGGCACTGTGCTTTGTCTGTGTTATCTCTTGGAATTAACAAAACCACCCTGTGAAGTAGGTATAACTGTGTTTGTTTTTCAGACCAGGAAATGGAGGCTTGCAGGGTTTAAGATTGGCCCAGGCAGACACAGAAGGACAAGTACTACATGATACCTCTTAAACGATGAATCTAAAATAGTCAGACTCATAGAAGCAGAGAATGGAATGGTGGTTGCCAGGGGTTGGGGGAGGGGTAACGTGGAGGTATTAAAGAGTATAGAGTTTCAGGTATACAAGATGACTAAGTCCTAGAGGTCTGCTGTACAGCATAGTGCCTATAGTTAACAATACTGTATTATGTACTTAAAAATTTGCTAAGAGGGTAGATCTTATGTTAAGTGTTATATCACAAAAATATAATAAATAAGAGGGCAAGAGGAAACTTTTGGAGGTGATGGATAGGTTTATGGCATAGATTATGGTGATGGTTTCACAGATGTATACTTATCTCCAAACTCATCAAGTTGTATACATTAATTAGGTACAGCTTTTTGTATGTCAAAAAAAAAAGAAGAACTGATTTAGGATCATGCAGCTGCTAAGTGACAGGACAGGAGCTCACATCCTGGCCTCTTGGCTCCAGAACTGGTGCCATTTAATTCTCCTGCTCTGCTGCCGAGGGTCTTCACAGCTCTTGAAACCCAGTTGTGACCCTGGGCAGCCTCCAGTGGTACAGCTGGGGGTCTTCTCGCACCACTTGGGAAAAGGTGGGACCCTGCAGCCTGGCTGCATGAGTTTCCTGTCCGTGTCTGATGTTGGATGAGGCTGGAAGAGGGCATCCACTGGGTGAGTCTGGGGATGAAGTGTTAGGAAGAGGCAGCCGAAACAAGCCCTGTGGCCCCTTGAGGCTCTCGTCACTGGACCACAGCTTGGGGAGGGTGCAGTCTGGATGAGACCTGGGGAGCTTGGTTATGAGAAGGAATGGTCTTCTTTAGGGGCTGGGAAGAGTCCTGGAGCTGCATACTTGCTTTCTGGGCCGAAACTCTGCTTTTGGGAGGAGGGCCACACGAGCCATGGGTGTGAGGAGAAGGAGCCCTGAACTGAGCCAGTAGGCCGCTGTTTAATCCGGCTGCCTGTGAGCTCATACTGCCTCTCAAGACTTCTTTTATAAAATAAAGAGTTGGAGCAAATCATTTCTAAGGGCTCTTTTAGCTCTAAAAAGCAATGGTCTTGTAATTCTAAATTGGTGGCTTAACCCTCTCAGTACAGCACCAGGGCAGGTGGGTAATTATTACCACAGTGTGCTACCCAGACTTTCCTTGGGGAGAGAGAATGGCCACTGTTCCCTGAGCCACCTGCCACCGCTGGGTATCTCTCCACCAGCTGGGTGGGGAGTAATTACACAAGAGAAGCCTTGGGTTGCTAAGTTACAGTTGAGGGCCTCTGGGTCTGCATTTCCAGAGCCGTCCACACCTGCTCTGCTCTTGAGTGATGAAAACTCATTGTTCTGAGGTCTAGCCTGCTTCTCTGTCACCACTTTACCTCCGAGTCTGATGGCAGATGAGCACAGTGCTTGAGAACAAGACCTCTGGGATCAGACATGGGTTCGAATCCTGGTGCCCCTGCTTGAGCAGTAAGACCTAGAGCAAGGTACTTAACTCTACTAAGCCTTGGGCTTTTCATATTAAAAGAAAATGGAGATAATGCTAGTACCTGCATTGGAGGGCTTTTATGAGGCTTAAATGAAAAAGGGCAGGCAAAGGAAGTAGGACAGTGCCTGGCACATAGTAGGTGCCCAGTAAGATGGTGGTAGCGTTACCCCCCACCCCTGCCCAGAGGCCAGCATCTTCTTTTCCTGAGCTAGCCAGGACAGCAGTGGATCCTTCCATTTTGTCTAGCTTCCCATGTCCCCACTGGTACACACCCAGGGCCCACCATCTGTCAGAGAATCTGACACTCTGCCCATGGTGACTACCACTGGTGCAGTCTTATGCTAAGAGTGTCTCTTCTCTCCGTTTTGAAGAGCATAACAGAGGGCCCCTCTTCCTTGCTGGGTAGTGGGTCTCAGCCCTGAGCCAAGCCTCAGGAAGGGACGGGGGACTCTGGTCTGATGTATTGCCACTGTCATTGCTATTACTGCTGTTCCCAATGCAGGCCTTTGTATCAGGTTGTTTTAGACACATCTGGGGGTCCTTCAGCAGTGGAGGTTGTGGCAGGAATCATGGCACGTCCTGGGGTGGCGTCAGCAGTTGTCACAGTTGTGCTGAGTCCCGGAGCTCCCAGGAGGTACAGTAGCCATCGTAGGGAGCCAGAGAAGCAGTCCAGCCTTGCTCTGTTCAGGGGCTTATTTCTCAAGGGACCTGCTGTCTCTCTCGTGGGCATCTGATACAAGTGGCGCCACTGGATCTGCCCTCTCCCTGTGTCTGTCACTGGTGGCTGCTTTAGACCCAGGCTCCACCATTAGTCCACTTAGCTCTGGCCAGGAGACCTGAGCTCACTCCCATACCACGAGTGAGGCAGCTTGGGTGGGAAGGAGTGGGTTGGGGCGACTTTCCTCAAAAGGGGGCTTAGAGTCTTTGCAGTCTGCCCTGGAATGCAGGCTTATGCATCGTCTTAGCAGAGGCTGGGAACAGAAGTTACTTAGCCTCTATTGATGGGGAGGGTTGTCCTCTGTTGGATTGGGTGTTTACCCTGAGCCAGACAGAAATACCCTGCTGGGTATTTAGAAGCAGGGAATTGCTGGATTGGGGAGTGTTAGAACAACCTCAGAGCGTTCTTCTTAAACTTGAGCATGCATGAGAATCACCTGGAAACTTTATTAAAACATAGGTTCCTGGGTCCCACCCTCAAAGATTATGGTCCGGCAGGTCTGGAGGGGGCCCCGAGAGTCTGCATTTCTAATATCCCAGGTGATGCTGATACTGGGTCTGACTCCTGCTTTGGAGGCCACCATGCCAGCTCCCTCCCCACCTGTGGAGTAGCCCTCACCGGTGGATCTTGTTTTGCTGGACCACTTCCAGGCAGGGGCTCACTGCCCTACAAAGTAGCTGATATCTCCATGTTCAAACAGCTCTAACCCTTAGAGAAGTCCTCTG